TTGAGCCCCCGAGCAAGCTCGGCTTGGCTGAGCCCAAGGTCACACCAAGACCAACGGTGAAACGTGGCACATGCAAGAAATAGCACTTATGTACACACACACACACAACTGTTTACAAAGGCAGCAAGAAAGCCAAGATCGTTGCTTTCGCAAGTCTGGGCAGTACATTGTGTAGAGTGAGTGAGAGTGGCTTCAGGTTGCGTCAGCAGCTGGCAGCAGCGACACAAGCTCCAGTCGCAGAAGACAACGTTGCTCTCAACCGCATGTTGCAACACCTCTGGCCATATCTGGCGGAACACACGACGAAGGAGCTCGCGTCACAGCTGGAGCCCTCCATACGTCTTGCGTTGAGCAGGCTGCCTGCGCCTCTCAATAGGTGCTCAGTAGACTTGCAGCGCTCAACGCTGGGAACGAGGCCCCTGCGACTGTTGGCACCGCATGCGTCCTGGTCTGGCCCGACAACTTTCACAATTAGCTTGCGACTTGAATGGGACAGTGACAGTTCGGTCTACTTGATGTTTACAGGCGCCACGCTGGGAATTGTAAACCTCACAGTCGTTGGGAACCTGATCGTCGAGTTTCTGCTTTGCTCTGGGGGCTCTCCTGGGTCTCTTCGCACCCTTCTCTCGGGTCTGCGCCTCTTTTTTCCAACGCCGCCAGACTCTTGGAATCACTTTGAATCACTTTCGGCATGTTCTGCATGGGCATTTACGGAATGTAAAAGTGGGCGAATCTGCCGGATTGAGACATGCAAGCCAAGGATATCCAGTTTGATATCGATCGTGGTCAATTGGCATTTGCCGTGAATTTGGCGATGCTGAAGCAAATGATTTTTGAAGCGATCTCAGCGAGATGGGCAGAGAAGTTGGTATTTCCCAATTGCCAGGGCCTTTCCTTGACCAACAGCCTTGACATTCTGGATGTGAAGAGGCCGCGGGTGGAAGGTTGTATCGTCCTCAAGATTTGCTCGGTCGACGGCCTTCCAGAGCCAGGCGGACATTTGCAAGCAAAAGCACAATCGCGGTCGGAAATCGCCCTTTCCCTATGGGGAACGGTTCAATTAGGAACGCGAAAAAGTGTCTTTTTAGAACGCGGAAAGGTGTCAGTTTGGAACGCTGAAAAGTGTCAGTTTGGAACACGGGTGATGTTAACACTTGCACCCTTGCAGTGATTTTGCTGACTTGAGTTGGTCTTTCTGCGGGTGGTTTTCTAAGGCGGCTTTTCCAACACCGCTGCAAAAACCACAGTTTTTTCCAGCATGTTTTTTCTACGGTGCCGGGTAGAACAACCGCAGGTTTTTCAAGGCGGCGGTTAGCGTAATCAGTGGTTTTCAAAGGTGGTTATTCAACGCCACAGGAGAAACCGCCGTTTTTTCTAATATGGTTTTTCTACGGCGCCGGAAAGAACAACCGCTAGTTCTCCTGAGGCGGCTGTAGAGAACAACCGCTGTCGTTTTTCTAAGGCTGGGGCCAGAACAACCGCTGTGGTTTTCTAGGACGGCGGCTTGAACAACCGGTGTGGTTTTTCTAAGACGGCAGCTAGGACAGGAACAACCGCTGCAGTTTTTCGAAGGCGTCGGTTCGAACAGCCGCCGTGGCATGGAATGGTTTTTCTGGTGAGAGTATCTTCGTCTTGTCGCATGTCATCAAACATCGCAAATCGCAACGGAAAAATCAAGAAAGCTTGTTGCAATTCTTGCAAAGTTCATGAAAACGATTCGGGGATTTGGCCTGTTGCTGTGGAGATGTGAATTACTGCTGCTTCCCGTGAGATTCAAGCCTTGAGCGCAACTCCGGAAACCGAAAGTCCTTAACTTTCATCACGCTGAACTTTACTCGCAACAGTTAAAGAATGACGATGCGGATGTATGGGTACGACGTCACTCTGCTATGAGGTGCCGCTTTCCTGTGTTCCAAAATGACGCCTTTTCCCATAGTCGCATCGACATGACTTTCATGCGAGGTCCGAGAACAACACAACACACACAGTTTTGTCTTGAGTCTTGAGGGCCTGTCCGAGGAAGACTAGCCTCTGTCCCACTCGAGTTACCCACGGACAAAGGCAAAGAACGAAAGCCAGGATTGTGTCTCCCATAGACCTGTGCACTTCCTTGTTCACCCCGGTAGCATATCGACAAGTGCTGTCGAAGAAGAGCCGAAGCCTGTATTATCTGCACGAAGTTCTCGATGCATGTCCACCGATGGTCCTGAGCAGCGTTTGCAGGCAAGTACCTCATTCAGACGGTTTTTGGATGTGATCTTCACTCGGCCAGTTTCGAAGCGGATGCCTGCTCGACTTGTCTTCAGGACGTGTGTTGTTTGCACCTCCTTGTGCGAGCGTGTGCTCATCAGCGGCTTCTGGTGAAGCTCTTGCGAGGCAGAGCTGCTCGGCTGATCGCGGGTGGTTTCAATCCAAGGGTGCAAGAAACACACGAAGGTTTGATCAGACTTCTCTGCGCGGCATGGTACTGTTGCACCGACTGTTGCACCGACTGTTGCACTATGTTTCGATGTTGCATGTCATCATTGAGGCATGAGTTTTCTTTCGTGCTGCGTCTGTGGGCTCCCTCTCGTGCAAGTGTCGCATCAGGCTAGCTGCCAGCAACTTGGCTACTTGAGCCTGCGAGCTGCTGATCTCGTGAGTGCTGCGCGGAATGGTCGCTGGGCCAAGCTGTTAGCCATGTGCACCAAACCCCATGCTGGCAAGATCTGGCAAGCATTTTGCTGTCACGTGTTTTCATGGACAGGCTCCGGCACGTACCCGCTGCAGCCAATCGATGAGGGCAAGGGCATGACGGCCCCGAAACAGACGCTCAACATCAACTTGAACTGGTGGCCTGTTCATGCTGCGCAGGATGAGGACAGCTTACCGAGGGCAAATGTGCATAGTAAAAACGTCGAGGGTGTGACGTGCAGCTGCGCAGGAAGTCTCCCCGGCACTTCTTTCCGCAGCTTGGGTGCAGCTTCATGCTGGCAAAAGTTTCGGAGTTTCTATGTGTTCTTAGAACGGTGGCGGCGCTGAAAAAACAGAAATCATGAAGCTGTGTGTCTGTACTGTCCCATGCATTCCACAAACCGAACATGAAACTCAGTTGAACAGAAGAGTTGTAGACTTCTGACCCGAATCAGACATCGAGATAAAGCAACGACATGACGATTCTCACAGGACCTGAAAGCACAGTTCCAAGGTCTCTCCTGTACATACAGTGCCTCGTTGTACCTCTAGGCTACAGCATGGCCATTCCTTGCTTTCCTCTTGCTTGCCCCAACACTTGTTGACTTTGATGCCGAGGTCGGCATCTACTCAGCGCTGGTGCCAAGCCTTGACGGTGTTTACTGGGTGGCAATCCGACTGGTGAGTGGAAGCAAAGTAGAGAGGCTGGGTAGCTTGGGTGAGCTTATGGGGTGCTGTGTTGAACTGATATGCAATTCGAGACTGCGGGCTCAGTTCTTCCGAATTCGGTGTCTCCTTGCCGAACATGTGCATATGTATGTTTTTACACATATTTGTATATACATGCTACTGTGATATACGTGTATATATGGACACGCACTCCGCCGCGGTCTCCTCTTGTTTTGTGTTTGTGGGTTGGTTTTACGGCTTAGAGTCGAGGAGACGGGTTTGCCCTCCTGTCCTCCCTCGCAGTGGTGTGGTTGTAAGGATAGGGGTTTTAGGGTTTAGCTTTTGTTTTGGGGTGTTAGGTTATAGGCTTGAGGGGTTTAGGCTCATGGTCTTGCTACCCTCCCCCGCCACCCCCCGGGCAGACAAACCACAGTTTGGGGCTCTAACGTTCACGGGTTTCAGGCTCAGGGTTTCAGGGCTTGGGTGTTGGGGGCTTTAGGGCTTAAATGGTTTCCCTAAACCTTAAACCCTGAGCCTTTCTACTTTCTTCCAATACGCAGAGTCATGGTTGTGGAACCTAGCGCGACGATTGATCGAGCAGATCAACCTCGCAACGAGTCGCAAAGCAGGTCCATCCGACAGCCACAGCTGCAAAGCGACGAATCGGCACGCGTGCCCAAACATTCTAGCCACAAAGCGAGATGAATACCGCTGAACATAGTTGAAAAAGCCGAAGCTCCGAACATATCAGAGCAGTGGTGAACCATTCAAGACCTATACAGCATCAGTGGGACAAATCCTGGTGCCGCTGAACCACACTCAGTGATTGCTGCTACTACGCTATGGCTACAGTCAATGTGCTACACAACAGCCCAGAAGAACATGTGAGGAATCATGAGCCTGCCACAAGAGTGGCAGACACAAGTGTGTTTGAATCTGCAGAGAAGAATTGCTCGCAGGGCGAACGTGGATTGCCGAACCAGCCGTATGAAATAGGCATTGCGTCCAATCCTCTGTTCATCTTTTCCTCTGACAGGCACAGCTGCAGTGCCATCATGTGCCAGCTATCCTCGCCACGCACCAGCAAATTCTCGATAGATGCATGCGCGATAGTGCCCTTGATCGGGGGCAAAAAGCCCTAAACCTAAACCCTAAACTTAAACCCTGAAGACTTAAGACCCAACACACCGGACCACACGGGGGGGGGGCGTGTGGACATTCCAGACGCCGCGACGTGGCCGCAGGCCCTGGAGCTCCTGCAGGGCGGAAAGGTTCTTTAAACTGTTACTTCGCACTTCCAAAAAAGTTTGATTTGCGTTTTTCAATGTGTAAAACCTCACTAAAACACCAAGGAAAAGCCAGATAACGATGTGCGGACAGTCCGGTGGACTTGATCAGGCGACTGATGTTTTGCATGCATGGAGGGACCATGCGATTTTAATGCTTCGTGCTTGGTCGGCTCAGCCCCCGGACTCAAAATCACATTCTCAGTGCAAGGTGTTGCTCCAGGTGAATTCTAACACGCGGCGATTCACATCGATTCACACAAATCGCAAATCCGGCAGGCTGTCTGCTCAAAACCTCTGCCACGAAGCAGCATTTAAAGATACAGGGCTGAAGCCGAAGCGGCCAACCCCGGTCTTGCTTCAGACCGTGAGTGGCTGAAATATTTCCGGCCAGCTTGACATGACAGCCACCGGACGCGTGATAGCACTCTACTTGAGTGGGGGGGGAAATTGGCTCATTATGTAAATGGTAAGCCTATGGCCCTAAAACCTGAAGTCCCTAAGAACCTGAAAGCCCACTACATCCTGCCCCTCCTCCACCCAGAAAGAAGACAAAAGAGTGCCAAACAAACAAGGAACGGGGCAAGCGCAGAAAACTCCACTTATTCTATCGAAGATAATAAGAACAGGCGACAGGTGGCAGCGTGTTAGATCCGGATTCACAGGACGAGCCAGAGGAGCCCACAGCACGAACGTGTTTTGCAGGATCCTGAGATGTTGGAAGATCAAGCTGAGCTTCAGCTGCATTGGCATTTGTTTCTAGATTACTGTTGCCTTTGTGGCTAAGTCATTGTGTGTAGGGACTTGCATGGCTCTCTTGTGTCGAGGGTGGCTGCGGCAAAGTCGAGTGGCTTGAGAGCTTCGATTTCCGGATTGAGGGCAGCGATCCCAAAATTCCAGCTCTGCTGATCGAGCTGTGGCACAAGGCAAGGGTCGTGAAGGTCGTGAACGTAAAGCCGACAGAGCGAAGTTCGTATTAACGCAGTTGCAATGATCTTCCTGACAGGCTCCCGGAAAGGCCGAATCGAAAGTCGGAACCCATCACCTCTCCCCAGGCAGCGGCTCAATGGCTTTGCTCTCCGAGAGTGGGTAAAGTCGTAGCTTGCCGTAGCACTCGTCAGTGCCTGCATTGCCTGCATTGCCTGCAGTGCCTGTGGTGCCTGTTTGGAGGCAGTGGCACGCGCCGATCGCTGGCTTTTGAAGGATCGGCTGCAAGGCTTGAGTACCGAACGTGGCTTGGAGCCGAAGAACATGGAAACATGGGGGGTCCCCTGCTCAGCTCGACCACTGGCTGGCAAGACTACAAGCCCAGCACAGAGGCCTAGCCCCTTTGGAGCTCATCCCCTATAGCTTCCTTTGCATCCAAGGTGTTTGTGCTGTATTGTGTGGGTGAGGTTATCTCACGAGCTAGCAGGTTTTGTGCGGTAAAGGGTTGAAGAAAATCTCGACCCACAAGTTTGCCATAACGGAGGTTGAACTACGCACTGCTTGCGACAATTTCCACAGCCTGGTCTGTCCCGAATCTGCTGCTACAGTGAATTTCGATTCAATCATCTGATTTGAGCCGAATACATCCCAATACTATGCCCCTGCAACCCACAGGAGATCATGTCACCAACATGCGGTGTTTACCTTGCTTCCGAAGTGCCCTGCTGAGCTCAGGCAGCTGGCCTGCTTCTCCAGGTCGGAGGTCGACCCCGCCCTACTTGTAGACGGCCTCTTGGCTATGTGTGCAGTGTATGTATGACTCTATGAATGCAGGCTGGATATTCGCTTTGTTGGAGATGCTTTGGGTCTCTTGCATCCTCCTGTTCTGTCAGGTCTTGCACCGATGCAGGAAGTGGCGGAGTCCGTCACGGAGACTGGGATCCCTGGGATCTCAGTGGCTGCATCTGCTGCCTCCGCTGCCTCCGCTCTCGCTTCGGCAGTGGATGGCATCGTTGCATCTGGAGCTTCTGGAGCAGTCTCCACTGCTGCCACCACCGTTACCAGTGCTGTAAATGAAAGCCTTGCTGCCATGGAAGGCGAGAGCGGCCATGTTGTCCACCAACCCCCAAAAAGAACTCCCTGTACAGGTGCCTACAATGGTCTTTCGGCTGCTGCAGGGGCGGGCATGGAGGCCGGTGACGTCCGTTGAAGTGTTTCTTCAAGAAGTTTAATGGGTTCGACTTTCGGGTTTGTGGGTCAAAGGCCTTCTGCAAGCCTTGCGCCAATCGTTCCAACAGCGTTCTAAAAGCGTTCCAAAAGCGGCATAGGCCTCAAAAAGAAAAATAGCAAGAAGCAAAAAAAATAGGGATCAACAATGATCAACAAAAAATAATAATAAGCATCAAAAGACAAATAAGCCATCCGGCCCACCTGTGTGGTCCTCTGGTCCCGTGGTCCTCTGGTCCCGTGGTCCCCTGGTCCCGTGGTCCCCTGGTCTTGTGGTCCCCTGGTCCTCTGGTCCTCTGGTCTGCTTGTCTGTCCGCCTGGTCCTCCGCGTCCTATGTATAAAAACAAATAAACAAATTGAATTAAATAATAAATAAAGAAATATATATACACACACGATACTGAAGGTCAACGTGTGTATGTATATATGTATGTGTGTATGTATATATGTATGTATGTATGCATGCATGCATGTATGTATGTATGTATGTATGCGTATATACATATATACACATATTACATAATACACGTTACATTACACATTACATATTACCTATTACCTATTATATATTATATATCATATATTTTATATTATATCTTATATATTACATTATATATTGGCTATTGTTTATATATGTTATATATTATATATATTATATATATTTATAATTCAGAAAATCACATTACATATTATACATCATTATACATTACTTATATATTATATATTATAATTAGATATTATATATTATAATTATATATTATATATTATATATTATATATTATATATATATATTTCTAGATATATTATTATATATATACTTATTTATATACTATATTATTATATATTCCTTATTTATTTTATATATTATATATTATAATATTATATATTACTATATATATATATATATTATATCTTATATAGTATATTAATATAGTATATATATTGTTATATATTGTTATATATTATATATTATTATTATATATTATATGTTATATATATAGAATATATATATTTATATTATATATATTATCTATATTGATATATTATATATTATATATTATATATTATATATTTATATTATATGTTATATATTATATATATAATTTATATTTTATACATATATATTATCTATATATCTTATACATATATATTATATATTGGATATAATAATTGTCTATATATATATGCAATATATATATATATATCAATATATATAATATGTAATATATAATATATACTATATAAATATATTATATATCGTAATAGTATATAATTATAATATATAATATATAATCTATTATATATAATAATATATAATATATATTTTATATTAAATAAAATATAATACTATAATATAATATATATAATACATAATAATAAATATATATTCTATAACATATAATAGGTAATAGGTAATATGCAATGTGTAATCTATAATGTATAATATAGAATGTACAGAATATTATTTATCATTTATGATTTATTTTTGATTTTATATTATATAGTATTTATTATATATTGTTCTTGTTGAAGCCAGGTTTTTTGCTTAAAACATATAGACATAGAGTTTTCCGATTGAAGCATAGAGATAATAGAGGATTTCCTATAAGTTGTGAAGAAAGTAGAGGTTTTCTTGTGGGAGTATGAAGAAATAGAGGTTTTCCGATTGAAAGATCGAGAAAATAGAAAGTTTTCCAACCACTACCACCACTACTACCCATCGTGCGAGCATTGTGTCTGCAAATGGGGGGGGCTGCACCCCCCCCAACCCCCCCGCTGTATTCCAAGAGGAAAATGGGTTGTTTTTTGTTTGATGCTTATTTTTTTGTTTGTTCCCTTGTTTATTTTTGATGCTTATTGTTTCTTTGATCCTTCACCCTGGGCATCCCCAAAGCGTCCCAAAAGCGTCCCAAGCGTTCCAAACCCAAAGCGGCTTGAAGAACGGAGTTCGGCACTTGAGATGCGCAATGATCTTGTCCCCCCGATGATGCGATGTTGCAGTCGAGCAAGTGGAGCTGTTCAACCGACCGTGCTTGCTTCAGCTGTTTCGTCACGCATTCGCATACACAGGAATCCGAAAGACTGCTTTCCAAGAATACTCATGGATGATTTCCACCGGTCTGGTGTGATCGAAGTGAATCAATGGGGCAATGGGGAGAAACTTGTGTGGGGGGGTCTGCAGGATTGGAGCCTGAAACGTGGTGTGGCAGTGGGTAGAGAGCAGTCCTGCAGAGTAATTGTGGAGGTTTTGTTCAGAGTTCAGAGGGCATGCCCTTGCCTGATGTTGCACCATGTCGCCTGCATGCTGGAGCTTCGCAGGGGATATCCTCGACCTGGACGTATGCCATGTCGCATGCAGACTCTCGACGGGAGGAGCCCCTACCAACGTCTTTGGAAGGCCGGTGTTCTTCGTGTGCGTCCCGCCAATGCGAAGCTGTCCAGATGAGGCACAGGTTCGACCACTACGCAGAAAGAAGCGAGACGAGCATGCGGCTCAGATCACTTTTGCAATTGAGGGACTGGAGGGCTCAGCGATTCAACGAGATGTGACCTTGTGGTGCCAAGGTGCTGGACAGAGAGTAGCCGAGTAGACCTGGCGCGCAAGGAAAAGACGTGCATGATGCACCAATGCGCTTGCAGACATGGGCTGAGCCGGCAGAGTCGGCTTAGCCATGCTTAGCCTGTATTCAGTCCTCTCAATGTCCTGACTCAATGCCCGGGCAATGACAAACACATACGAACACATGTTTGGAACATCAATTCACGGAGCTGGTGTTCCTTTCGCCATCTCTGCCAGGCGGTCGTCATCTGCGGTGTCAATCTGAGCTTGAGTCCATTGACGTATGTCAGTGGATGTGGCGCAGGCCAGACCGTTGGCACAGTTGACATTGCTCGTATGCTGCTGAAATACCGCCACTGTGAGGCATGCATTCGCACATTGGCCGGTGTTTCACATACAACTTCTCAGCGGACGGCTACACTCGGGGTGAGGCTTTCCCCTTTGCCATGAAACTTGCTTCTTGCTTTCGCGAGTATTGGAAGGCTACGGCATCCACTGCCCTCAAGCTGAAGCCGTTCGAAAGGCCAACAATGTACAACCTGGATCCTTGAGAGTTTCTGACACACTGATGAGTTTGCCCTTGAGGGAGCAGGGCGACTTCTGCATTTTGGCAGGAAGCCAGGTTAATCAGGCGGGGAGTTGTGGCAAGTTTAGTTT